AGGGAAAGATAGAAAAAGGAGGGAAGGAAGGGAGGGAGGGAGAAGAGAGGGAGGGAGAGGGGAAAGATAGAAAAAGGAGGGAAGAGGGGAGGGAAGGAAGGAAGAGGAAGGAAGGAAGGAAGCAAGGAAGGAAGGAAGGAAAAAGTGAAAGGAGGGAGGGTAAGATAGAGAAAGAATGGAAGGAGGGAGGGCGGGGAAAATAGAAACAGGAGGGAGGGAAGGAAGAAGGAGGGAAGGAAAAAGCAAAAGGAGGGAGGGGAAGATAGAAACAGGAGGGAGGGAGGGAGAGAGGGAGGAAGGAAGGAAGGAAAAGATAGAGAAAAGATGGGGGGGAAAAAGATTCAAAAGGAGGGAGAGACAGAAGAGAAGATGAGAAAGAAAGGAGGGAGGGAGGAAAAGATAGAGAAATGAGGGAGGGAAGGAGGAGAGAGAGAGAGAGGAAGAAAAATAAATAAATAAATAAAGGGAAAGAAAGAAAGAAAGAGAGAGAGAGAGAGAGAGAGAGAGAGAGAAAGAAAGAAAGAAAGAAAGAAAGAAAGAAAGAAAGAAAGAAAGAAAGAAAGAAAGAAAGAAAAGCGGTGTTTGAGCCGCATTTTAGCAAAGTCACTTCAGGCTCCCGGAGGCTTAACCGAGCCATTCAGAACTGGCATTAGTCATCGCCCGAATAATAAGCTTGTTCCCTCGCTTTGTTTCTGCTGCGGGAGAGCAAAATTATTATTTCCTTTTAAGTGCTTCTGCAGAACTCAGGAGGGAGGAAGAGAAGTGACTTTTGAGCACCTACTTAATATTCCATCTCCCCTGCCAAATAACAGGTGAATGTATTTTCCTTGTCCCTAGCAAGACCACTGGAAAACTCAAAAAATGAAAAAATAAAAATCGTACAACTAGCCAGAGCAGGTATGTGGAACCCTTCCGGCCCATTCCTTAACTGGCTGGGGTTGCTGGGTTTTGTAGTACAGCAATATCAGCAGGCCAGGATGCTAGTTGAGCCCATCCTTGGAAGTGTGATCCTATGAAGAATTTTTTTAAAAAAAAAAATAATAATGATCTGGTTTGTTAATGGTTGCTTTTAATAGATCGTAGCCTGCCTTTTACACCCCTCTCTCACCAGCCCCCAGGTTATAGAACCACTTATTACAAAATAATTCCCAGAATCCATCCAGGTATGACTTCAAGGTACAACCACGACTGAGCCCAAAATTTATCTTGCCAAGTGAGACGTTGGAGTTTTGCCCCCTGTTTTACGACTCTTTGCACCATGGTTCCTAAGTGAAGACCCCCCCCCCCGCGGCGATTAAGTTAGTAATACAGTTGCAAAGCATGTTCAGAGTATTGCAGCATAAATTCAGCACCAGAAAAGTAAACACAGATGGCTGAGGCTTCATTTAACTTCTTTATAAACAGATCAAGTAAATTTTACAATACCAGTTGTAGATTTCTCCAACATGGACCGAACTCAAACAGAAGCAGACATGTTTCAGGTTCAGAGCAGAGTTCTAGTTTTCAGCAAGCAAGCAAGTTGGTTTCTCTTTCACTTTTGGCTTGCCAGAAGGTTGCACAAGGGGGTGTCAGGGTTCTGGCAATTGCCCTCATTAAATTATTTTTAATTCTACCAGTTCGCACCTATTCGCTAGAACTGGCTGTTAACATTCTAAGCAGTTGGGAGAACCGGTTGTTAGAAGAAACTACTGGGCTAATCCTGTAAGGAAGGCAGGAAGGAAACATTCTGGTGTTGCTTACAGAAACTGCCTCTCCGTTAACCCTTATTACATTCTTGGCAGGACTGGACTTCCTGTCTCAGCAACTTCTCTGGAGTTTTCCCCCCCTCCTTTGGTGGTACTTTGCTTGTGTGGAGGGACCATTTAAAGTTACAATGGCACTGAAAAAAGTGACTTATGATCCTTTTTCACACTTACGGCTGTTGCAGCATCCCCACAGTCATGAGAGGCCAGGGGAGGAGATGCGTGCCTCGATGTGAGTGATGTCGAGTTGGCCATGCCCAGCCAATAACATGACCACCAAGCCACGCCCACCAACTAAGCCACGCCCACAGAACTGGTTGTTAAAAAATTTGTATCCCACCCCTGAGGAGAACTTATACTATTTCAACCTGCAAATAGATCCCAGAAACATCTGGGATTTGGAATGACGGTTTGGTCATCCTTTGTCCCCAAAAGTAAAGGAAAAGGATGCTGTTCCATCTCATCACTCCCAAGCTTTCTCCAAACCAGATATATTATTTTCTGCTCCTTCACATCTTCTGGGCAGCATCTCTCCCACACAAAGCCAAGAAAAGACAAACAAATTATTGCATGGAGGTTGAGACGTGCATCCTTTCAACCACAGCCCAGGGAATGGTCATCTTAATAACACGCCAAGTTTATTTATAAGCTTCCGTTCCTTTCCACCAACTTTCCTCCAGGGGGGAGATGGAGTCCGCCCACACTGAACAGGCTGAAAAGTGCTAGGTTCCTATTGTTTTGAAGACTTCAGTTGATGTTCTTCTGGGCTCGGGAGACACCTGGACACCGAAGTTGGGGCTGTATGAAACCCAAGACTGTCGTTCTTCTCGCTTTGTGCATCCATGCTGCTCGAATTAATTTCATCTCTTGGCCACTGGGCAATTCTAGATTTCATTGCGATGACGTGAATGCTTGGGCCTTTCTTTATGCCTCTCCTGGTTGGGAAGAACAGCCTTTGGGGTTTGTTGTTGAGAACAACCACATTGTTCCTTCCTTGGAGGCTCCAAACAACCGTTTAGCTATCTGCTTGATGGGTTTTGTGGGCCTTGATGGGGTGGAAATGTTTTTTTTTTCCCACAAATAGCTGATGGCACAATAATTATCACATTAGGGGTTTAATTGGTTGGACTACGGATGTTGGAGGAAGTATCTCCTGTCTAAGGTCTCGTTTATGGCCACCCAGGAGAGTAGTGTGTGTGTGTGTGTGTGTGTTTGTGTGTGTGGTCCTTCTACCAGGTTCCATGAATTATTTTCAACCAACAAGAACAGCCTTAACTTAACACAAACCAAAAAGGGAACTGTAGTCAAATGCTAACAGCCATTGGGTGATGGCCTCTTGGTTGTTTTTTTTACCAGAATAACAGAGTTGGAAGGGATTCTCAGAGGCCTTCTAATCCATCCCTCTACTCAAGCAGGAAACCCTATACCATTTAACAGAATAAGAACTTTGGAAGGGACCTTGGAGGTCTTCTAGTCCAACCCCTGCTCGAGTAGGAAAGCCTATACTGAAATTTGCCTGAAATGGTGTAGGACCACGATGGTGAACCTATGGCACACATACCACAGGTGGCACACAGAGCCATTTGTGCCAGCACACGATCTGCAGGAAAACTTACCTCACCGCACATGCGTGCACCTCCCAGCTGATTTTTGGATGGTTTGAGGCCTTTTTCGGCCTCCTGAAGGCTTGAGGAAGGCTTCTGCAGGATTTGCAGGATGAAAACTAGGCCTGTTTTGTCACTTCCTGTTTTTCCGAAAATACCAGACGTGACGAAACGGGGCTAGTTTTCGGCCTACAAAGCCTGCAGAAGCCTTCCTCAAGCCTCTGGGAGGCCGAAAAAGGCCTCAAAACGCCCAAAAATCGGCTGGGAGGCAAAGTGCAGGTAAGGGGGTGGCGGGGTGGGTGGGGTGGTGATTGCGTATGCGTGCGAAGGAGGCATTGGGTGTGTGTGCATTGGCTTCTGGGTGCTGGCACGTGAGTGCAAGCGTGCAAGTGCATGCACAGTTTTTGGCACAAGAGCCCAAAA